GAGACCTGGAAGAAGCTCCTGGCTCCTGGCTTTGGATTGGCTCAGCTCCGGCCATTGAAGCCAATTGGGGAGTGAACCAGCAGATGGAAGACCTCTCTTTCTCTCTCTCTCTGCCTCTCTTTCTCTCTCTATGTAACTCTGACTTTCAAATAAATAAATAAATATTTATGAAAAAAGAAAATCTTCTCAATAAATGATGTTGAAAAAACTGGATATCCATGTGAGAAAGAATGAACTTGAACTCTGATCTTATACCACACAGTAAAATGAGATATGAAATATTACTATTCTCTTAACACTGTACAATGAAATACATGAAATTTGTTCCCTTTATATAAATAAAGAATAAAATAATAAAAACTTCAGGAGTAAATGTTTTGCCTGGTGCTTAAGCTGCCAGCTGAGACACCATTATCCTGTGTAAGAACACCTGGGGTTGAGTTCTAGCTCCCAGTTTCAGCTTCCTGCTGATGCACCCCTGTAAGGCAACAGGTGATGGTTCAGTATCTGGATCCTCACAGACCTGGAAGGTGTTCCTGGCTCCTGGCTGCATTTCCACTCAGCTGTGCCCATTGTGGGCATTTGGGGAGTGAACAGGAGATAGGAACGTGTTCTCTCTCCATCTATCTCATTATTTCTCTTTCTGTTTCTCTCTGTCTTCCAAATGAAAAGAACTTGAAATGGATTAAAGACTTAACCTTGAGAAGAGACTTATAAAACTCCCAGAAAGAAACATGTGGAAAATTCACTTGGCATTGGTCTGGGCAATGATTTTTTTGGACATGACTGAAGTATCTGCAACAAAAGCAAGCACAGACAAATGGGACTAAAAGACATCTACATAAAATGGAAACAACCAACGAAATGAAAAGTCAGCCTACAGAATGAGAGAAAATATTTGTAATCCATATATCTGGTAAGGGATTAATTAGTCCAAAATAACACAACTGAATAAGAAAAAATTCTATTTAAAAATGGACAAAGGATAAGGAAAGACATTTTTTCCGGAGAAGACATGCAAATATCCAACAGATAAATGAAAAAGTGCTCAACATGATAATCAGCAGGAAAATGCAAATGAAAATTATAATGAAACATCATCTCACACCTGTTAGGATGTTAGATCTAAATGGTGCTGGCAAGGATGTGGGTAAAAGGGAACCCCTATGCACTCCTGGTGGGAATGTAAATTGGCACAGTCATTATATCTAAAAATAGGACTACTATATCCAGTGACCCAAGTTCTGGATATATAGGCAAAGAAACTAAAACCACTGTCTCGAAGACACATCTGCACTCCCATGTACACTGCAGTATTATTCACAAGAGTGAGGATGCGGAAGCCACCTCAGTGTCTGTTGATGCGTGATGAGATAGAGAGAGTTATATATTTGAATCTTACCCACAGAAAAGGATAACTTGTGACAACAAACATGAATCTGGAGAATATTCTGCTAAGTGATATAAGTCAGGTAGAGATTGATAAATACTTCATGATTCCACTTGTATGTGAATCTAAAAGAGTCACATTCAGGGGCTGGCCCTGTGGCACAGGGGGTTAAAGCACTGGCCTGAAGCACTGGCATCCCATATGGGCACCGGTTCTAGTCCCGGCTGCTCCTCTTCTGTTCCAGCTCTCTGCTATGGCCTGGGAAAGCAGTAGAAGATGGCCCAAGTCCTTGGGCCCCTGCATCTGCGTGGGAGACCTGGAGGAAGCTTCTGTCTCCTGGCTTTGGATCAGTGCAGCTCCAGCTGTTGTGGCCATCTGGGAAGTGAACCAGCAGATGGAAGTCTCTACCTCTCTCTGTAACTCTGTCTTTCAAATAAATAAAATAAATCTTTTTTAAAAAGTCACATTCATAGAAGCAGAGCATAGAAAAATGATTGCCAAAGGTTGGGGGTGGGAGAAATGGGTCAGGGGTACAAGTTTTCAGTTTTAAGATAATTAAGTTCCAGAGATCTGACACATGTGTACTATATAGTGAGTACAACTAATCACACTGAACTGTATCTCTTAAGTTTGCATAAGGAGTACACTTTAAATGTTCTTACTATACACCCAAAAATTGGTACCTAGCTAAAGTAATAGATGTGTAAACTTGATTAAGATAATCATTTCATAAAATACACAAGCACTTACAAGCATATCAAATAATCATTTTGTACATCTTAAATATATACAATTTCATTTGTCAAATACATCAATAAAGCTTGGAGGGGAAAAAGAGAACGGTGAGACAAGTGGAAGAGCCAATCATACAATCACAGCAGCGAATAACATCCCCCAGCAAGTAAACAGAAATTAAGACATAGGCTCACATTCCCTCCATCGGTACCCAAAAGGAGTCTCCATCATCATCTCTGGCATATGGAAAATGCTCAATAAATGTTTATTTTACTAAGAATAAAAAGGGGCTGATGCTGTGGCATAGTGGGTAAAGTTGCTGCATGCAGTGCCGGCATCCCATATGGGCACCGGTTTGAGTCCCAGCTGCTCCACTTCCGATCCAGCTCTCTGTTATGGCCTGGGAAAGCAGTAAAAGATCGCCCAAGTCCTTGGGCCCCTGCACCTGCATGGGAGACCCAGATGGAGCTCCTGGCTCCTGTCTTTGAATAAGTGAAGCTCCAACCATTAAGGCTGATTGGGGAGTGAACCAGCAGATGGAAGACCTCCCTTTCTCTCTCTCTCTACCTCTCCTTCTCTGTGTAACTCTGACTTCCAAATAAATAAATAAATCTTTTTTAAAAAAATAAAGAAACAAATGTGTGGACCAATTATCTCCTAAATGGAATAATTTACTACATGCATAAAATTTTATGAGTATCCCTTACTCATAAATAAAACAGCTCATTAGCCAACTCTATAATGGTGGGTGCCAATCCAACCACATGTCCATGGAGAATGTTCAGTTCATAAGTAGATCTTCATCATCTCACAAACTGACATTTGATTCTGAACACATCTGATATCATTCCAGCCCCATGTGGCAAGTGGCCGACGATAATTTAGAATAACACAACGTTCATTCCGATCACTGGGTTCACCTGCATGCCAGAATCTAAACCGGAGAAAAAGAATATTTCTTCAAGCAGTGCTGTGAAAAGGGTAAGAGACAATAAGGGAGCAGGACACTGGTATTGAGCTCTGTGGAAGTCAAGGTCAGATATGCCCGAATCACCCTCCCCCATGTCTCAGGCAGTTTTTCCTCTACCTGTCCTTGTGGCACTTCCTCTGAAAACTGTGCCCACATCACTGCATATTCCCTCAATCTACCGATTTAAATATCCCCCCAGAAGGTGTCTCAGAGGCTATTTCCTATTCGTCCATCTCTATATCCTATTCTCAGAGGACTGTTGATCCACATAGATGGAAAGATTTCACCCTGGCTCCACATATCAATATAGGTTTTTCTCCCTTTTTTTAATATTCTGCTTTTGCAGTCTGAGGAACTAGTTAAAACTTGTGATCCTCTACCATCCCTGTTATCTTGGGCAAGTAATTTAATTCCCCTGATTCTCAGTTTTCTTATCTAAAAATTGAGGACTATAGTAATATTACTTTATATATCACACAGTAGATACAAAAATCAAAGATGCTAAACTATTTGAGTTTTAATTTAAAAGAATTTCATAAATGAAATATGATTCTCAAAATATGGTATTATTACTTTAGGAAAAATATTAATAACTGTCATCTCAATTAGCATGAAGTGTTATTATATTCAGACATACATAATGGTTAAAAGCATAGCAGAGGGGCAGGTACTTGGCCAGTTACAATGCTATCTGTGACCCATATTGGAAAGCTGAGGTATGAAACTCCACTCTGGCTCAACTCCAGCTCTCTAATGCAGACAGTGGGAGGCAGTTGTGATGACTCAAATAGTTAGGTTCCTGCCACCCAAGTGGGAAACCTGGATTGAGAGTTCAGCCCAGGACCAACTCTGTGGCAGAGTGGGTTAAGGCAATGCCTATGACACCAGCATCCTATATGAACGCCATATTAAGCCCCTGCTCCACTTCCAAGCTAGCTCCCTGCTAATGCACCTGAGAAAAGCAGTGGACAATGGCCCAAGTGCTTGAGCTCCTGCTACCCACATGGGAGACTTGGATGAAACTGCGACCATTTGAGGAGTGAACCAAAGGTTGAAAGATCTGTGTGTGCATGTGAGTGTGTGTTTGTATGTCTCTTCCTCTCTCTGTCTCTGTAACTCTGTGCTTCAAATAAGTAAATAAATCTTTAAAAAGAGAGAGTTTGGCAGTTTCTGCTATTGTGGGCATTTGGAGAGTGAACCAGCAGGTTAGAGTGCTCTGTGTGTTGGGGTGGGGGAGGGTGTCTGCCTTTCAAATAAATAATGTTTTAGGAAAACACAGTAGAATCTGGATTTGAGAGGGGCTGATGCTGTGACGTAGTAGGTAAAGCTGCTACTTGCAGTGCTGGCATCCCATATAGGTGCTGGTTCGAGTCCCAGCTACTCCATTTCTGATCCAGCTCTCTGCTATGGCCTGGGATAGCCCCAGAAGATGGCCCAAGTCCTTGGGCCCCTGCATCCATGTGGGAGACCTGGAGGAAGCTTCTGGCTCCTGGCTTTGGATCGGCATAGCTCCAGCTGTTGTAGCCAGTTGGGGAGTGAGCCAGCAGATGGAAGACCTCTCTCTCTCTGCTTCTCCTTCTCTCTCTGTGTAACTCCAACTTCCAAACAAATAAATAAATCTTTACAAAGAAATATAATCTGTATTTGAGGACTGTCATTGACATTGTTGAACGACCTTAGTTCAATTGTCCAAATCCTTAAAACTCAATTTTTTCACCACTGTAGAGGGGAAAAGAATAATATGTGTCTAATAGGGCTCTTGTAATAATTAAATGAGATAATAAAATTATTTAACCCTATAACCAAGAGCAAGAAAAGAGTGAGCTCTTTCATTTTCAAGGCAGATAGCTAGGATACCTAAGCCCAAGGCATGATCTAGGACCCAGGATTCCTTTCTGTACTCACGTGACATTTGCATTGTATGGTGTTTCATCAACCCATTGCCAATGTCTCTGACCCTCTGGATCTGACAGTCCCACGTAATAAGCAAGGGTATTTTTTAGATTCTGGATGATGAAATCCTGAAGGAAGAGAAGAAAGAAGCCATAGCCTTTAGAGAACAGCTTGAACTCAGCTATTTTTATAGCATTAATATTTATTGCTTTGTGTGAATACTATTTTGAAATCCCAAGCATTCAGTTTACACACCAAATTATGCAGTCATATGCCATTTCACAAAGGGAGTGAACACACTATATTCTATAAAATCTTCTTAACAGAAATTTTAAGATTCTAAATACCAAAAAGTACAGCTGAAGAAACAGGTATAAATTTGGCAGCTGGTAATTCTGGAAGAGAAGTTGCAGCTTGCATGATTTCAAATGTGTGAATTTGAAAATATTGATTCTAATTACTGTGCTTTATGTTTATTTGAAAAATATCACACTGGCTGTCAAAGAAGCAGGTTCAAATTATTAATTCACTTTAAAATGTCATATAAATTAAGTTGATGTCTATGCACCTACAAAGCTTCAGTCATTTAGCTCAAGTACATAACTAAAGCAATATTCTAATTCTTCCAATACAGTGGTACTTTGTTCTATTGACCTTTGAATAGTCTAGAATTACTTAGAAAGAAACATGGAGGGTCAGCATAGTGAGCAAAGCTTCTGCCTGTGATGTCAACACCCCATATGGGCACTGGTTCGAGTCCTGGCTGTTCCGCTTCCGATCCAGCTCCCTGCTAATGGCCTGGGTAAGTAGTGGAAGATAGGCCAAGTGCTTGGCCCCTGAACCCACATGGGAGACCCAGAAGAAGCTCCTGGCTCCTGGCTTCAGCTTGGCCCAGCTGCAGCCATTGCAGCTGTCTGGGGATTGAAGCAGCAAGTGGAACGTCTCTCTCTGCCTCTCTCTCTCTCTGTGTCTCTCTCTATATATATATATTTTTCAATATATATAAATCTGACTTTCAAAATAAATAAATGAGGCCGGCACCGTGGCTCACTTGGCTAATCCTCACTTGGCAGTGCCAGCACCCCGGGTTCTAGTACCGGTTGGGGCACCGGGTACTAGTCCCAGTTGCTCCTCTTCCAGTCCAGCTCTCTGCTGTGGCCTGAGAGGGCAGAGGAGGATGGCCCGGGTGCTTGGATCCCTGCACCCGCATGGGAGACCAGGAGGAAGTACCCAGCTCCTGGTTTCAGATCAGTGCAGCACCGGCCATAGCGGCCATTAGGGGAGTGAACCAACGGAAGACCTTTCTCTCTGTCTCTCTCTCACTGTCTATAACTCTTTGTCTCTCTCTCTCTCTCTCTCTCTCTCACTGTCTATCTCTGCCTGGCAACATAAATAAATAAATAAATAAATAAATAAATAAATAAATAAATCTTTTAAGAAAGAAACATACTATATTTACTGTGGTCAGGAAAAGCAAGTCAAGCATCAAGGAATCTGCTTGGATCTTCTGATACGGTCTCATATCAGCCTCATAAGCATTAATTCTACAAAACAGTCAGCTACTGTCTGAACACAGTTTCCAAGATAAAGTACATCTTCTTAAAAATAATGAAATCTTTTTCTCAGGCACCTCAGAAGAATACAAAAGTATTTCAGTAAACAGATTTCCTGGAATGTGTTCCACCTGGCATTTCAACACTCTTAAGATTTCCAGGGCTTCACAAGGGCCAGATTTTATTTTAATTACTCAGAAGAGAAAGCAAATGTCTTCTGAAAAAGGGTGAATTTTATCATTACCAATAGAAAAGTAACCACTGTATTCATTCTTATAGCAACAGAAAAACATAACATCTCCCTTCTTAGAATAATGGATGGATGGATGGATAGATAGATACATGGATGGATGGATAGATAGATAGATATGCTGTCATATATGACTTGGAGTTCCATTGTACAAAGCCAAACAAGAAGATCTGGAAGCCAGGATGAAATCCTACAGTGCACATATGAAAATATTGAAACTGACCAAATATGCAAACTGCTAGAGCTGTTGGACTAAAAAGCTTTCTTGTATATGGATAAACTAAATGTGATAATCCCCCAAAAGGTTCTCAGAATTGTAATTACTGTCTTCCAGTTTAAAACATCTAATGCTGGCCGGCGCTGCGGCTCACTAGGCTAATCCTCCACCTGCGGCGCCAGCACCCCGGGTTCTAGTCCCGGTCGGGGCGCCAGATTCTGTCCCGGTTGTCCCTCTTCCAGTCCAGCTCTCTACTGTGGCCGGCACCCCGGGTTCTAGTCCCGGTCGGGGCGCCAGATTCTGTCCCGGTTGCCCCTCTTCCAGGCCAGCTCTCTGCTGTGGCCAGGGAGTGCAGTGGAGGATGGCCCAAGTGCTTGGGCCCTGAACCCCATGGGAGACCAGGAGAAGCACCTGGCTCCTGGCTTCGGATCAGCACGGTGCACTGGCCGCAGCGGCCATCAAGGAGTGAACCAATGGAAAAAGGAAGACCTTTCTCTCTGTGTCTCTCTCTCTCACTGTCCACTCTGCCCGTCAAAAAAAAAAAAAATCTAATGCTAAAATTTGAAAAGTGAAATACACAAAGCACTGATCTGACCAGACATGCCCCCTAAAAAGTCAGTAGTAGGCAGGACTGGGAGGAGCTGATTTTCATGGTTCTTACCTGAACGACTCTTTTGGGAGTTATCCTTAAAGTACTTTATGTTATAAGCTGCTCCTGTTGTAAAACTAAAGATCCATTTGGTTACATGAAAGGCTTATCCAGTGTAAAATCAGAATGTATGTAAAATGCCACATGAACCTGTTTCCAAACTGAACCCTCTGTGACTTCTGTGGCTTTGTCATCATTTTCCATGAGTGACTCTGAGAGAATCTCTGGTTTCACTGGAGCCGGAGCCTACCAATTCTTCTGCTTCAGAACCACTAAATCAGGGCCTAGGTTTTCACTGGCCTTCACAACGTAGGTCTTTCTCAGGTTGAGACACATCAGACCCCTCCATTTAATTATTTTCCTCTGAAGTCTCTTCATTCACAGTTAAGACATCATCAGATTCTTGTTCTTGATTTTTTTCTTCCTGGGATCCTTTCTCCTAATATCATCGAAGACTCTTCTTCCTCTTCATCCTCTTCTGTTTGGTATAGCCACTTTCTTTGTCTTTATCCTGAGAGGAGGAGGGGACTTCTATTCCTTCTACCCTCACTGAAGAACTCTCACCAGAAGTTGTCTTATTGGCTGCCTCCCTCACTTCCTCTTCTTTGTCAAACCTGAGTCTTTTCACCTCGTGCTCCTTGGCTTCTACAGTATCTTCATCTGGGTGTTGATTTTTTTATAGGGCTCACTGAGGGGATGAGTCACTGAGATTTTTTTTTCCTCGTTTTGTTTCAAGTTTGACTCTTTACTGTCTACACTCTTAAGCACACCTTTTGTTGTCAATGGGGCAGACAAAAATTTTAGTCAATTTAGTTTCCTGGGGGGTCCCAGATCCATTTAGACCTCTCAGTATAACCTGGTGAATTTCCGGGAAACATAACACTCACTCTATTTAAGCTTTAGAATTATTTTTATTTGAAGGAAACTTCAACTAACACGCATCACATCCTTTTCTACATTTTTGAGAAATTGTCTGTTCCTGTGTTTTTCCTTGGATCTGTTAGCAATCATGTAGTCACTGGATAATATTGAAATTATTATATTAAATCCAGTGACAGTGTTCAGTATGTTTTCCTTCATTTCTTCAGAGGGAACATACTCGACACCAGGGTTGAGAGGACATCTGGGTTCAGGAGCTAAAGTTCTGAAATCACCCAGCATTTGCTCCAGCTTAGATGGGGACCACTGACTCCATGTTTCTCTGGTCTTGGCTACATGATGGGAAAAAGTAGATCCAGAACAGGCCACACTTCCTTCTCCTGCCCTTCCTAAAACCCCTCAGAGTCTCCCGCAGCCTCTCTATCCTCATAATGGATCCTTGTCTCAGACTCACTTCTCCACTAAGGGGCAGCATTCCTCTAAGTTGTGCAGGAAGAAAATTTTTGAACATTTAAGCACTTTTCATTACTTGAAAGATTCTTTGATTTCATTCCTGGTTATTGGATGTGACTCATGATTTACCTTTATTTCCTATTCAATTTGCACCCTTTCTCGGGTAGTTAATAATTTGTGAAAACAAGTGCACCTTGAGATAAACTGATACTTCACATGGAAACATTTGCATCCTTCTACCCAACCTTCGTATGTTGTATTTTTAGTCCCATAATTTCTAAAGTAGGAAGAAGTCATGGACTGTGAAGGCTTGGGGATCCTTTCCTATCTGTGACTGAAAGTCTTCTGCCTGCCAATGCACCAGTGTCTCAAAACTCATAAAAACCTCCTTCTTAGCCAAGAAAGATGTACAAAAACCAGGTGGGGGCCACAGCTCGCTATCTCACAGAAAGTACCTGCTCGTCCTTGCTGCTGATCACCAGCAGATGGGCCTCCATTGTAGAACAGTGGTGCTTACTCTCATACCAAGATTTGGACTCAGTAGAAATCAAGTAGCAGTTGGAACTAAATGGCTTCCAATTCTTTGGGCAGCAGCTCCAGACTTTCTCTGTATTGGGAAGAAGGGCATATAAGTGCAATAGAAGAAAATCATTTTACAAAGAGTATGAATTATTAAAATTAGGGCCAAAAGGAAACCATGTAGAAGCTGAAACTCTCGTTCTTCACCTGGATTTCATAAGGAGCCCCCAACCCTCAGGTGTCGAGAAAGCCAAGTGTACCTGTAGCAGGGAATAATGAGACAAGGCTTGCTTTCTCCTGCTGCACTGGATTCAAGAAGAGTCAGCTGGGGGCCAGAGTTGTGGCACAGTGGGTTAAGCTGCCACTTGCAATGCCAACATCCCATGTCAGAGGGCTGGTTCACATCCCTATTGCTCTACTTGTGATCCAGGTCCCTGCTAATGCAGCTGGGAAAGCAGCAGAGAATGGTTCAAGTACGTGGGCCCATGCCACCCACGTGGGAGACCAGATGGAGTTTCAGGCTCTTTGGGGCCATTTAATGAATGAACTAATGTAAGGAGGATCTCTTTCTCCGTGTCTGTCTCTCCCTGTCTCTCTGTTACTCTACTTTTCAGGGTTAGAAAGTGAAGAGAGATCTTCCATCCACTGGTTCACTCCCCAAATGGCCACAACAGCTGGAGTTAGGCCAGACTGATGCCAGGAGCCAGGAGCTTTTTCTGAGTCTCACATGTGGGAGACCAAAGATTTGGGCCATCTGCTGCTGCTTTCATAGGTGCATTAGCAGGAAGCTGGATCGGAAGTGGAGCAGCTGGGATTCAAACAAGCACCCATATGGAATGTTGCTGCTGCGGGCAAGTTGCTTTACCCACTGTGCAATAGCACCAGCCACATAAATCATTTTTTTTAATGAGAAGTCGGCTAAAACATATGTCAAAGGAGCACAGGAGTCAAGATAATGAGCTATCAGTGGCCAAATCAGCAATGACAAAACTAACAAAGTAGTACTGAATATAAAAAAACCATCATGAGTACCTGCAGATGTAAATAAATGACTTATTAACTAAATAAATGGTATAGAAAAGATAAATCTCATAGGCACAAGCATTTTTTTAAAAATTACATAAATACTCATAATAATCAATTTTGTGTGATATGGTCAAATGTTCTAGATATTTATTTCAGGCTTTTTTGGATAAAATTTAAATTTAAATTGGTGAACTTTGAATAAAGCCGATTGCCCTTCATAATTAAGTGAGCTTTGTCAGTTAAAGATCCAATTATAACAAAAGGATGGCCTTCCAGGGAAAGAGGGAATTCTCCAACAGACTGCCTTCGATCTCAACTACAAGTCTATATTTTTTGGAAGGAGTACTCTCAAGGATTGAAAAATTATGTTGCAGGGTTTGTGCTGTGGCGTAGTGGGTAAGGCTGCCCCCTTCAGTGCCAGCACCCCATATAGGCACCAGTTCTAGCCTGCTGATTGCCACCATCAAATTTTGAAGACTACTAGAAGCCCAGAACTTCTTCCTTCTGTCTAGTTATAAACTGGTACCCGTCCATCAACCTATCCCAACCCCTCCCTCCATAGTAGGGTGAAGATAATGCTAATTTACTGTATATTTCTCTATTTGAAAAACCTGGTGGCCGGTGCCGTGGCTCACTAGGCTAATCCTCCGCCTGCGGCACCAGCACCCCAGGTTCTAGTCTTGGTTGGGGTGCCGGATTCTGTCCTGGTTGCTTCTCTTCCAGTCCAGCTCTCTGCTGTGGCCCGGGAAGGCAGGGGAGGATGGCCCAAGTCCTTGGGCCCTGCACCCTATGGGAGACCAGGAGAAGCACCTGGCTGCTGCCTTCGGATCAGCGCAGTGCGCCGGCCACAACGTGCCGGCCGTAGCGGCCACTTGGGGGGTGAACCAACGGCAAAAGGAAGACCTTTCTGTCTCTTTCTCTCACTATCTAACTCTGCCTGTCAAAAAAAAAAAAAAAAACCTGGAAGATGGGACTTTAAGATGTTTTTGCTATAAAGAAATGCTAAATGCTTGAAAGGATAAATATACTTACCCTGATTAGACATTACACAATGAAACATTGCATAATATTTCATAAAGTTTACAGTTAATATGTCTGTTAAACTTCAAAAAAATTTTTAAAGGGATCAGCATTGTGGCACAGTTATTGCTTTGATGGTTTGAAAGAACAGTGGTAAGGTACAGTATAGGGTGTTCCTGTTAGAATTTGTCTGGCACTGTTGGGCCACTGTACAATAACATCCCATATGAGAACCTGCTTGAGTTCCAGCTGCTCCAGTTCTGACTCATCTCCCTGCTAATGCACCTGGAAAATCAGCAGAGGATGATTGGGAGACATGAATGGAGCTCGCTGCTCCTGGCTTCAGCCTGGCCCAGCATTGGATGTTGTGGCCATTTCGGGCGAGAACTACTGGATGGAAGATCTCTCTCTCTCTCTCTCTCTCCCCCCCCACAACTCTGCCTTTCAAATAAAAATAAAACAAATCTTTAAAAGAAAAAAGTTAAGTGGGGACTTGAAAAAAACACAATTGCATGAGTCAACTCCTTAAATATCTTTATATATGTTATACTTGTTCTGTTTCTCTGAAGAACCGTGACCAATAAAATATTCCATCCTAACGGACAAGCAACATAACTTTTCCTTTAAAAAAAAGATTTTTTTATTTTACTTGAAAGTCAGAGTTACACAGAGAAAGAAGGAGAGGCAGAGAGAGAGAGAGAGAGAGAGAGAGATCGGTCTTCCATCCGCTGGTTCACTCCCCAGATGGCCGCAATGGCCAGAGCTATGCCTATCCAAAGCCAGGAGTCGGGAGCTTCTTTCAGGTCTCCTATGTGGGTGCAGGGGCCCAAGGGCTTGGGCCATCCTCCACTGCTTTCCCAGGCCATAGCAGAGAGCTGGATTGGAAGTAGAGCAGCTGGGACTCAAACCGGCACCCATATGGGATGCTGGCACTGAAGGCAGTGGCTTTACCTGCTACGCCACAGCGCCGGCCCCACAACATAATTTTTCAATCCTTGAGAGTACTCCTTCCAAAGAATATAGACTGGAAAAGGGGAGAAAAGAAGTGTACTTCCCAGAGGAGAAACCTGACAAACATTGCCTTACCCAAGTGATCAAGTAATAAAAAATCATTTTGATAGTATATACCATTGATATGAAGTGAAGAAAATAATATCTAACATTTGTGATTTTGCTCCCAAAGCCCAATATAATCATTAGAAAAATCCAGACAAATTTTAAGAGAGGGACACCCTATGCTGGACCTTACCACTGTTCTTTCAAGCCATCACAGCCAGACAAGCCTAAAAAACAGTGACACCTCAGCAAGCTGAGGTGCCCTAGATTGGATCCTGGCACAGAAAAGGAACATTGACAGGGAAGCAGGCATTTGGTGCAGTGGTTAAGATGTTGCTGGAGAGACTGCATCACATATCGAGTGCCTGGGTTCAAGTCCTGGCTCCGCTCCCCATTCCAACTTCTTGCCAATGTGCACCCTAGGAGGCAGCAGCTGACAGCTCAAGTACATGGATCCCTGATGCCTGGATTGAGTTTCCAGCTCCTGGCATGGGCATAGCTGCTGTGTGCATGTGAAGTGTGAATCAGTAGACAGACAATCTCTCTCTCTCTCTCTCTCTCTCTCTCTCTCTTTCTCTCTCTCTATCTGCCTCTCTAAAAAGAAAACAAATTTGATGAAAGCCTAGGAAGTCTGAATACATTATGAACCTTAACAGATGATAATATTTGCATATCAATATTGATACACTGATTTTAATAAAGGTACAACATTTATGTAATCTGTCAATAACAGAAAACAATGTGCAAGGTGAGGATGAATGAGATCTTTCTGTATTAGTGCCTGAGTTTTTCTGTAAATATACTACTGTTTTTAAAAATAATTCATTTATTTCATGTCTTAATAATTTGTATTCATAATAAAACTACCATTACCATTTTAATCACATGTAACTAATATGTGAGAAAATGAGCAAGTGTATACACCAAAATCACAAAGTGAATGCTGAAAAAAAATCTAAAAAGTAATGTGCTCTTTTCCACAATTAAGTCTATTTCCTTGCATAGACAAATTAAGATGTACATATAGGAATTTTAGGTCTTATGCAATTACACACTTGTAGCTTAAAATGATCATAAGACTCCACTTCTCAGTATGACCTACCTAGCAGTCTAACGGGAAATATTAATTTGGGATCCTTACACACTCTGTATAGTCAGCAATTGAATTGCAGGTACATTAATTTTTACCTTTAAAATTGTTTTTCATACACTCCAATGCTGTGTGATTTAATTCTTTCAAAGATTTTTTTTCTTCAAGAAGCTGAGAATATTTTTGAAAGAAAACTGGAAAAGAAAATAAAGATCATTCACTTTGTTGACAGTGTTGTGACTTCGCTGTTATTGTTATTTCCTTACAGTCATTATAGAAACAAAAGTCTATACATGGCCACACTTAAGTAGATGGATCTGACTGGAAAAGAGTCCCCAACACCCACAGCCAATGGACTCCTAATCCTGCTGCTTTGGAAACTGTAGATCTCTCCAGAGCAAAGGTTGACAAGGCAGTTCCATCACACGAAGGCAAAGAAGCTGACCCACATTCTCCTTGAGTACCTAAGGTATACTGCATATGAAGACTACAGTTTAGGGGAGGTGAAAGGTAATTTAAGGTTTGTGCTGAAGAATGAGGTTAGCAGGCCAGCGCTGTGGCACAGCGGGTTAACGCCCTGGCCTGAAGCACCAGCATCCCGTATGGGCAGCGATTTGTGTCCTCACCACTCCACTTCCAATCCAACTCTCTGCTGTGGCCTGGGAAAGCAGTAGAAGATGGCCCAAGTCCTTGGGCCCCTGCACCCATGTGGGAGACCTGGAAGAAGCTTCAGGCTCCTGGCTTTGGATCGATTGCAGCCAACTGGGGAGTGAACCAGCGGATGAAAGACCACTTTCTCTCTCTCTCTCTCTCTCTCTCTCTCTCTCTCTCTGCCTCTTCTCTCTCTCTGTAACTCTTTCAAATAAATAAATAAATCTTAAAAAAAAGAATGAGATGAGCTAATTCCACACTATTTTGGATGACTTTGGAAAATGGAGAATTTCAGAAGCACCCAGTATTGATCAAGAGGACAGGACACACACCCTCTTCTGTACTGCATCCATACTTATTGGCTGTTACTCTTCAGTGCAGCAAAACTCTCATGTCTCTCCCAGTTTAAAACTAACCCAAGGTGGGCATTTGATTTCGCAGTGAAGTCGCCACTTGGGAAGCTTGATTCAAGTCCCATACCAAATGGGAATGTTTGATTCAAGTCCCCACTCTTCTTCTAATCCAACTCCCTGGGCATGCACACTCTGAGAGGCAGCGAGTGAAGGCTCAAGTACTTGGGTTCTTGCTACCTACAAGGGAGACCTGAACTGAGTTTTGGGTCCTGGCTTGGCTGTTGCAAGTATTTTGGAAATGAGCGAGCAGATGAAAGGTTCTCTCTCTCTCTCTCTCTCTCTCTCTCTCTCTCTCTCTCTCTCTCTTTCTTTCCCCAAGTAAAATAGAAATCAATAAATTTTTAAAAAAATTAAAACTAGCCCACTCTCCCTATAGAAACTGAATTTTCTTTTTGTCTTCCTTACCTCCCATTTGCTCCTTGATCCAACACATTGTGGCTTTCCTTCTACTGCTTCATTAAAGCCACCACTTCCATGGATCATTGCTGTCCTGCTTGGTCCCCTCCAAAACTCATAAGGCAATTTAAGTGGCTCTGTGATTGATTGCTAAGAGGGCTTAACAGCTTTCTCTCAGGAGTGAGTGAGTTCCTGGGAGTGTGGGTTGTTAGAATGCACATCCTTGTGCACACCCTCACTCACTCTCTTGCCTTCCACCACGTTAGAGAGCATCAATAAGGCCCTCACCAAAAAACTAAGCAAATGTCAACTTCGGGCTTTTGGACTTCCCACACTCCAGCACCAAGAGCTAGCATAAATTTCTATTCTTTCTAAAACATCTAGTCTCAGGAATTCTGTTAGAGCAATAGAAAATGGACTAACAATCAGCACACCTTAGGGCCACTTATTAGTCATCTTCTTATTTCACTTCTTGCACTACCTAATCCTTAACCCCTGGGATCCCATCTTTCATGTTTTCACCTCACATTTCTTTTTTTTTTTAAGATTTATTTATTTATTTGAAAGTCAGAGTTACAGAGGGAGAGAGAGAGAGAGAAGACTTCCACGCATTGTTTCACTCCCCAGACGGCTGCAATGGCTGGAGCTGTGCTTATCCGAAGCCAGGAGCCAGGAGTTTCTTCCAAGTCTCCCACAGGAGTGCAGGGGCCCAAGAACTTCAGCCATCTTCTAGTGCTTTCCTAGGCCTTAGCAGAGAGCTGGATCGGAAGTGGAGCAGCCAGATCCCGAACCGGTGCCCGTACGGAATGCTGGCACTGCAGGCGGTGGCTTTTCCTACTATGCCACAGAGCCAGCCCCCACCTCACATTTCTTGCTGCTGTTTCTTATACTGTTTCATAAGCTCTTCTCCATCCATTCACTTCTTTTATAATATAACGGTGCCAGAGTCCCAACCCTATTCTCTCCGTCTCTTGTTAAATCCCCTTCCTGAGTAATATTACGGATTCCCATGGTATCACCTGCTTCCTACAAATAAATGACTTCCAAAGCTCAGACCTCTATGTTGAAATGCAAACTAGCATGTTTCCCACTACATGTGTCCATTTGAGGTTCCCACAGTCATGTAAAACCCAACAAGCCCCAGGAAAAGCACCTGGCTCCTGGCTCCTGCCATCGGATCAGCGCGGTGCGCCGGCTGCAGCGCGCCGGCCGCGCCGGCCATTGGAGGGTGAACCAACGGCAAAGGAAGACCTTTCTCTCTGTCTCTCTCTCTCACTGTCCACTCTGCCTGTCAAAAAAAAAACAAAACAAAAAAAAAAAACAAAACAAAAAAAAAAAAAAACAAAACAAAACACCAACAAGCCCAAACCCGGTATTCATCCTACACTGTCCACTTCTTTGAAAACTTTCATGATTGCTGAACTAACCCAGAGTATTGGAATCATCTTTACTTATCTGGGGCCCTTATTTCTCATATCCTCTTTTACAATTCAATGCAATCTCCTCTTATCTTTCTCCACTAACATAAGCTTTAGATCAAGCTCTGACGATTTTTCAACCGGATTAATGAATTAGCCTTCTAAGTTTTTTCTTTGCCTCCAGTTTTGTCTCATATAGCCATTTTCTACACCTCCATAAATCAAAGCATATTTCTATAAACCAAATTTAATTATGTGAATTCTTTGCTTAAAATTCTTCGGTGACTCTCTCTACTGTGACACATTGCAAAAATGTCCAGAATTGTCAGCCCTCCCGGTATCAACTCTCCTTTGCAATATAACTTGACACTTCTCCAAAGGGAAAATGTACTCTTCTTCTCTACCACTTGAATCCAAGCTGCCTTTGAGGCCTCCTTTAACTATTAGAACGTGCAGAAGCAACTCTATACTATTTCCAAGCTGAGACTTCATGAGTTTTACTTCTGCTTTGTCTTGGAAGTCCACAAGTCACCATGCGAACAAACCCAAGTTAGCCTGATGAATGATAACAGAAATGTTGCCAGGTAACTCCTGTTGTCCCATCCATCATCGCCTGCTACAGAGTCTGCTTGCCGGCTGCTGGTACCCAGCTATATTGGTTGGTAGAGCCAACCTCCCCGCTGAGGACACTCTAAATTGCCAAGTCACAGAATCATTAGCTAAATAAATAGTTATGGTTTTAATTCACTGTTTTATGTTGGTTGATAATGCAGCAAAAGATAATTGATAAAGATAACCTTTAGAAGAAAAGATCTGAACTTTTGTTAATGGCACACAACACTCTTCATGGACCTGAGCCTTGCTTATTTCTCCCAGCTACCACTTTATTTCTTAGTTCTCCAGTTAGCACCAGTGGTCCAGTCATGCACACTGACATTTCTCCAAATTTTTTCCATCCTCTCTCTTGCCTCTGTGTCATTCTTGGTAATTATAGTTCTAGATGTCACTTTTCCCAGAAAGCTAAGCTCAGCCTCCTGTTCCTACCTTTCACCTGCATGACCCTTACCATACAATGTCGTAACAATTGGTTATTTGTCTATACTACCGATTTCTTGAGACCAGTGCCTGGGGCTCTATCTGGCCTCTGTCTGGCACAGTATGTGGCAAACAGATGGTGGTCATTACTACTTGTGGGATGACCAAAGTAGTAAATGCAAACTATCCCCAAGTGTATACTTGATTTTAGATCTTTTTAAATTTTATAAATTCTGAAAGCCACAAATATGCAGGAACTCACCCATTGGCTAAATTGGTTTTAAGACCTCACACTATCTTTGGCAGGACAGAAATAAGAAAAATGTACATTTCTTGGAATGTTTCTTCCCTTATCTTTGTTGTATACCTGCTTATTCCAAGATATAATCATCTGTATACTCAAATAGGATTGCCCTTATAAATGCTACCAAGGAAACATAGATTTGCTTTCACTTACACATTGTCTAGTATAGCAATAATACGTCACGGATTCATTCTTAACACTAACGTGCATACACACAGATACTCTCCAAATTATATTGAAAATATAGATTTCATTCCTTTTTCAGAGTAACAAACTCCAAATAAAGAACAAAGTTCTCTGTGGATGCCCATGAATTATGTCTCCCCAGAAAAAAATTCTTTTTCAGAATTCTAGATAAAACCATTATTTAATGTCAGTTTCTAATGGATACCTTCTCTTCATGAAGCTGTTTTTACCTGCTGATTCAACTGGCATACTTACTAATGAAAGTGATGAGGAATGTGATTGCCAACAGCAGGAACAGTATCAGCAATGAGATGAGGAAGAGCTTGGGAAGATCAAGATTACTTTTGTGAGGGGCGGTACTCTGTTTGGGAGCTGAAAGAGAAATAAATTAGTTTTGCAATTAACAGATTCTATCCTTTTTTCCTTTTCCTCCTCCTCTTCCTCTTTTCCCTTTTCTTGGACGACACTCAGTTACTGAAAGGATGACATTTGAAATAATAATTAATAAAATATATAGGAATAGGAAGGAAATAACAGTGTTCATTGTAGAGAAAGTTTAGAAGACAAATAAAAGCACAAGCTGCTGTCATTGAGAATAATGTTAATATTGTTGGTATATATACTTTTATCAATGTTTAAAGTGTATTCACATATATCCACATTTTCCATACAATTGACACACCATAAGTACTGATATCTCACTTATTATTTTCTTGTACAGTATATCATGAACATTTTCATGCCATCATAGTTTCTTCTGTAACACCCTTTATTGTGCTTCCATATTGTTTTTCATTATATATTTAAATAATCTTCCAGACTTTTTCCTGCTATAGCAGGTAAATCTTCATAACTACCCTCCAACACATCTTGTCATTAGGATAAAATCAGTCCTTTTAGCCACCCATTTCATGGTTAGGAATCATTTTCTTAAAATTAAAATATATTAGGGGCTGGCGCTGTGGGGCAGTGGGTTAATGCCCTGGCCTGAAGCCCCAGCATGCCATATGGGCTCGGTTCTAGTCCCGGCTGCTCCTCTTCCAATCCAGCTCTCTGCTATGGCCTGGGAAAGCAGTAGAAGACAGCCCCGACTCGGGCCCCTGCACCCACGTGGGAGACCCGGAGGAGGCTTTTGGCTGCTGGCTTTGGATCAGCGCAGCTCTGGCCATTGTGGCCACCTGGGCAGTGAACCAGCGGATGTAAGACCTTTCTCTCTGTCTCTACCTCTCTCTGTAACTCTGTCTTTCAAATAAATAGAATAAATCTTTAAAAACATTAAAATATATTGCCCTTGGCATTATAGGATGTACATATATGATATTGATCCTTGGTATTATATGATTTTATTTTTAGGAAAATACACATACACATTGATGGGTATTTAAATGTGGCAGGACATATACTGAAATGCAAATAATGCTTTTCTCTAGGTGATAAGATGAAGCATACTTTGAATTTTTATGTACCTCTGGTCAACTATTTCTATAGTGTAGAGAAATAAGTATAGTATAAGGCTTTATATAAAGTTTTTCAGAGGGAAAGTAATTTTCTAAATGTTCTCCACTCCCCCACAGAGGAGTTCTAGAGAACATGAGCAACCCTGACTCCGCGACCCCCATAGCTTCTTGCACTGTCTATCCATGCACCTTTTTCTCTTCCATGCTATTGAGATATCACACACACCATACAAATTACCTTTCATATACCCCCAAACTTACCTGGGCTGTCTCAAAGATACACCATACAATAGATTTTCTGATTTCAGAAAACCTTCCCTGAAAATTTAAAGAACTTTCATTGTAAAACTATCTTGCCTTTCTTTTGCAATGGTCTTTCTTTTGTTGCACTTCAGCTTCTGCTAACAAATGCACCCTCATCACTCTCCATCCAAAGTCTTCCCCTTTAACTGATTGAGACACAGGTCCTGGGACTGGCGTTGTCCCATAGTGGGTGGAGCCACCACCTGCACCTCCCCATAGGGCAGCCCCCACTGCTGTCCTGGATGCTCCCCTTCCTTCTGATCCAGCTCCATGCTTGTGGCCTGGGAAAAGCAGTAGAAAATGGCCAGAAGTGTTTGGGCCCCTGCCACCCAAAAGGGAGACCTGGATGGGGCTCCTGGCTCCTGGCTTCAGCCTGGCCCAGCCCTGGACATTGTGGCTATCTGGGGAGTAAAGAAGGAGACAGAATATATATATATATATATATATTCATATATATGAATATAATATATAGATAAATATATATTCATATCTTTCTCTGCAACTTTTAGATGAATATACATGTATATTCATCTCTCTATATTCATCTCTCTCTCTCTCTCTCTCTTTGCAACTTTGATTTCTGAATAAACAAATAAATAAAAAGGAAATAGATCTTATGGGGTAGGTGTTGTGTCACAGGAGGTTAGCCACTGCTTGCAATGCTCTCATCCTGTACTGGAGTGCCTCTTCAAGTCCCAGCTACTCCACTTCCAATCAAGCTTCCTGCTAACGCATATCCGGAGGCAGCAGGTGATGATTCCAGTGTCTGGACCCCTGCCACCCATGTGGGAGGCCCAGATGGAATTCCTAGTTCCTGAATTTGTTCTGGCTCAGCCCTGGTTGTTGTGGGTGTTTGGAGAGTGAACCAGCAGATGGAAGAGACCTCTCTCTTTCTCTCTCTCACCCCCTCCCTCCCTCCCTCTCTCCCTTTCAAGAAGATGAAAATAAATACTTTTGGAGAGAAAAAAAAGGAAATAAATAGATACCCATTAATTCATCAGTAGTCCCTTGCATCTGGGCTGATGGTTTCAGAAATTGTCCCCAGTCTTTTGACTCCCAGCTCATTGAACCTCAGAAAACCGAGTAAAACTTCTCAACACCAAAGCACTCTCTATAGCTAAGGACTGTCACTGGTTTCTCACATCTCAGCAAAGCTGGGGCTACAGACAGCATTGTGGAGTTTCTTCTTGCTTACTATATAACTACCTAGCTCCTTAATGCCTCTCTACATACAGCCCAATCTTCCAAGACTCCCATGTGTCACAGAGAGCAAGCAACTAACTTTCACCTGGTTTCTAAGCCTTCTCTTCATTCTTTACTTCATAATTAACTCCAGCTATTGAAAAAAATGGTTTTTACCTGCAAGAGAGCCAGGGTGGATGCCTGAGGCTGTAGGTCCTCTGTTGAACCTCACTTCGGCATAAGTGATTTCTGAAGTCATATTGAGAAGAGATATTCTGCTTTCTTCAGAAAATATCTCTTGCCTTCCTTAAAATATCTTCTAAATGAGAACCAAAATGTTGGTAAATGGTCGACTTCCTAGCACTCAGCTAGGTGAGAGCAGAGGCACCATAGTAGCGAGTGACCCTGAGAAGTCACAGGAGAACCAAACCCACAGTGTGGAGTCATTCAGACCACACAGCCAGGCAGCTCAATCCTCAGGACCAGCGCAATGTGAACTCACTAAGTACGGCTATGCAAATGCAATAGAGGTGGGAACTCAAAGGCTGAAAGAAATAGGAAGGAAAGGAAAAGAGGAACCAGCATTTAGGGAAGTCTTTGCTGTACTTTGTGCTTTGAACTTGGCAGCAGAAGTGAAATCTGTGTGTGTCCACATGCAAATATAGTTGCTTGTGGACCAACCCACCTAAGAAAAACTTGCTCCTAGCATGTTCACCCCATCATTTTTGGCTGATAGAACGATTTCTTGGTTCCACATCCTAAGAGGATTATTTTTGCAAAACTCACATTTTAGATTTATACTTTCCAAATCTCTCTTCCCTACCATAGCAGGGAAGGCAAAGTTTAAATTTTATGCCTTCGGAAGCTGCTCCTCTGTGCTCTTTGTTTTCTGCTGTGGGATCCTAAGTAACTCCATCGTGAGCCTCTGTATGGTTATCTCCAGAACTCGAAAAATATTTATTGATTAGCAATTGAGGGAAGAGAACATTCTTTTTTTTAAAGATTTTATTTATTTATTTATTTATTTGAGAGGCAGAGTTACAGAGAGAGAAGGAGAGGCAGAGAGAGAGCTTCCATATGCTGGTTCACTCCCCCAAAAGGGCACAACAGCCAGACCTGGCAGATCCAAAGCCAGGAACCAGAAGCTTCTTCCAGGTCTCCTACAAGGGTACAGGGGCCCAAGCACTCTGGCCATCCTCTGCTGCTTCTCCAGGCCATAAGCAGAGAGCTGGATCAGAAGCGGAGTAGCAAGGATGCAAACTGGCGCCCATATAAGAAGCCAGCACTGCAGACAGAATCTTAGCCCACCGCACCCTGAGGCCATTCTTTATTCCTCACTTTTGTACCTCATCAATACTCAAACCACCTCGACAAAAGACAATATAGCTACATATGACTTTTTTAAAGATTTATTTATTTTTCACTTGAGAGTCAGAGTTACACAGAGAGAGGAGAGGCAGAGAGAGAGAGGTCTTCCATCCAATGGTTCACTTCCCAGTTGGCTGCAGCAACCGGAGCTGTGCCAACCCAAAGCCAGGAGCCAGGAGCCAGGAGCCAGGAGCGACTTCCGGGTCTCCCATGTGGGTGCAGGGGCCCAAGGACTTGGGAATCTTCCACCGCTATCCCAGGCCATAGCAGAGAGCTGGATCAGAAGTGGAGCAGCCAGGACTAGAACCGGTGCCCAACATATGATTTTTTAAAATATATTTATTTTTATCTATTTGACACAGAGACCAAAACAGAGAGAGACTTTCCATTGGCTCATTCATAATTGGGGAGTGAACCTGTGGATAGAAGATTTTCTTTCTCTCTCTCTCTCTTTGCCTCTGCCTCTCTAACTCTGCCTTTCAAATAAACAAATAAATCTTAAAAAAAGAAGTTAATAGAACATGGAATTAAAAAATCAGTTTATTTAAAAAAAAGAGCAAATAATCTTCCTATTTGAGTTATCAATAGTAAAAAAAGATTGCCATAGTGATTAACACATTTGTGCCTACTGCGTTCTGGCTACCGTATCTTGCTGTCATTATCTCAGTTAATATTCAGAAACATCCTGAAAAACATGCACTTCTATGAGGAAACAGAGTGTGTGATACATTAACTAATTGGCCAAAGTCACATATCTGATGATTTTTAACTCAGGTCTACCTAATTCTAAATTTGTATTCCACAAGGTTAACTTCCAAAGAGTAGCTCCCCAAGCAGACATTGGATAATTGACTTTGAAGGATATTACTGAAATAGATGTTTTCTTCAAGTTTGCCATTAAATCTCTTTCAAATTTGAATTTTGTGATTACTTGGAATCTATAAGAATAGTAAGTATCTTTGTACAAAAAAAAAAAAAAAAGATGGGGTTTATGTAGTGGCAGGTGATAAATGGAGAGATGAGATCAGGGTCTCCAGTCCCCCTATTGCTGAATACTGTTTTTACACATATTCCATGCAGCTAAATATAGGTTATATCAACCTATCCATAGTTTAGACACCCATCCTATGAAGGGTACCTTCCGTTCCCACTATGAACAATCCAGACTGACCATCCAGATGAAGCACACCTTCAGATAAAAGCCTAGCTAAGTTTGCTGTAACTTTTATTTTGTAGATTGAAATAAAAATTGAATATTTTTCCCATAAATGTAAATACCAGAGGTTTGAGAATAACTGTAAATGAAATTTTAAATACCTTTAACTTTTTTTTTGACAGGCAGAGTGGATAGTGAGAGAGAGACACAGAGAGAAAGGTCTTCCTTTTGCCGTTGGTTCACCCTCCAATGGCCGCCATGGCTGGCGCACCACGCTGATCCAAAGCCTGGAGCCAAGTGCTTCTCCTGGTCTCCCATGGGGTGCAGGGCCCAAGCACTTGGGCCATCCTCCACTGCACTCCCTGGCCACAGCAGAGAGCTGGCCTGGAAGAGGGGCAACCGGGACAGAATCCAGCGCCCCGACCGGGACTAGAACCCGGTGTGCTGGTGCCACTAGGTGGAGGATTAGCCTATTGAACCGTGGCGCTGGCCATCCTTTAACTTTTCATTAGAGAAAAGGTCCTGTGCACACAATGCCTTTATTTTAATACATCATGTTTCCAATCAAATTAAAATGTCATAAATATATGATTAATTTTCAGCACATTATGACTAAGCTCCTGCACATGATTAGTATGAGTCAGATTAATTATATTCTACATTTCTTATGCCACCTTTAAATAACTTTTGGTTATTCTTCAAAATTTATTCATCTGACTAGGTTAAGAGTAAGTCACTAAGAGTGACATGAAGAGGCTTACAAGTCAATGCAGATGCCTCAGGGCTGGTGCTCTGGTGCCATAGACTAATCCTCACCTGCAGCGCCAGCATTCCTTATGAGCACTGGTTCTAGTCCCTGCTGCTCCTTTTCCAACTCAGCTCTCTGCTATGGCCTGAGAAAGCAGTAGAAGATGGCCCGGATACTTGGACCCCTGCACCCACGTGGGAGACTGGGAAGAAGCTCCTGGCTCCTGACTTCAGATCAGCGCAGCTCTGGCCATTGCAACTGTTTGGGGAGTGACCCAATGGAAGGGAGACTTCTTTCTCACTGTCTGTAACTTTACCTCTCAAATAAATAAATAAAAATCTTTAAAAAAAAAAAAAAGTAAAGAACTGGGGCCAGCACTGTGGCATAGCGGGTAAAGCCGCCACCTGCAGTGCCAGCATTCCATATGGGCGCTTGTTCGAGTCCCAGCTGCTCCATTTCCCTTCCAGCTTTATGCTTTGGCCTGGGAAAGCAGTAGAAGATGGCCCAAGTCCTTGGGCCCCTGCACCCATGTAGGAGACCCAGAAGACACTCCTGGCTCCTGGCTTTGGATTGGCACAGCTCCAGTTGTTGCAGCCAACTGGGGAGTGAACCATTGGATGGAAGACCTCTCTCTCTCTCTTTCTCTCTCTCTCTCTCTCTGCCTCTCCTCTCTCTGTGTAACTCTGACTTTCAAGTAAATAAATAAATCTAAAAAAAAAGAACTAATTTGAATTATTTTCAAACTATTCAAAAAAAAAAAAAAACAATTGAAAGGGAGGGAATCCTCCCAAACTCCTTCTTTGAAGCCTGTGTCACCTTAATTCCTAAACCTGAAAAAGATACAACAGAGAAAGAGAACTATAGACTGATATCCCTGATGAACATAGATACAAAAATCCTCGACAAAATAGTAGCTAATCAAATCCAGCAACATATCAGAAAGATCATTCACTGAGACCAAGCAGGATCTGTACCTGATATGCAGGGATGGTTCACATTCACAAATTAATAAATGTAATACATCACATTAACAAACTGAAGAACAAAAACCATATGGTTATCTCAATAATGCAAAGAAAGCATTTTATGAAATAAAACATCATTTCATGATGAAAACCTTAAGCAAATTGGGTTTGCTCAACATAATCAAGGCCATTTATGACAAACCCACAACCAGAGTCCTATTGAATGGAGAAAATCTGGAAGCAATTACCCTAAGATTTAGAACCAGACAAGGATGCTCACCCTCACCATTGCTATTTAATATAGTCCTGGAAGTTTTAGCCAGAGACACTAGACAAGAAAAAGAAATCAAAGGGATACAAATTGGAAAGGAAGAAGTCAAACTATCCCTAATTGCAGATGACATGATTCCATACATAGAGGATCCAAAAGACTCCATTGAGAGATTATTGGAATTCATGAAAGAGTTTGGTAAATTGGCAGAATATAGAATCAACATGGAAAAATCAATAGCCATTGTATACACAGACAATACCATGGCTGTGAAAGAACTTAAAAAAAAAGACTTATTGTGGGGCTCCATGGGATGCGCAGCCATGAAGCCCCCACGTCAAGGTCGGGCTGATAGCTATTGCTGTGTCTTTATCACAAGGCACATGTTGCTAGTTTCGATTAGGGCAATGCTTTCCCACAGTCGGGACTTTCCAGAGGAGTTGAGAATGTTGTAAACAACAAGATGGTGCCGAGGACCGCGCGGTGAGCCTGCCTGCTGCGTGACACCTCATCTGATTGGCCCGAGGACGCGTGCACACTGCGTGAACAGACAGCGGATTGGAGTGTTCCATGCATGGACTTGAGCCCGCTTGCAATTGGCCGGATTTTGTATATAAGCTGTGTGCTGAGGAAGGAGGGGGCTTTTCTTTCCACTCTCCTCCCTTCATTCTTTCTCTGTCACTGTTATTTTCTTATTAAAAGTCTACTGAAGATCGATAAGCTGCGAGCAGTGTCGTTCCTTTGTGGGCAAGGGAGTGACAACTTATTTTATTTATTTGAAAGACAGAGTTACAGAGAGAGGTAGAGACAGGAAGAGAGGTCTTCCATTTGCTGGTTCACTCCGCAGATGGCCACAATGGCCAGAGCTACACTGATCTGAAGCCAGGAGCCAGGAGCTTCTTCCAGATGTCCCACATGGGTGCAGGGCCCCAAGGACTTGTGTCATCTTCTACTGCTTTCCCAGGCCATAGCAGAGAGCTGGATTGGAAGAGGGACAGCTGGGACTAGAACTAGTGTCCAT